AGGCTACACCCGAATTACCTACCTGCCTCTCTGCCTCCACGCCAGGAGTTTTTTTGGATTTCACACCCGGACTACTCACCCCTCCACGTCATCTTCGACCTCCTTTGGCAAGTACGCAGTACGAAGAAGGATTCTGAACCAGCAACATATTCATATGTCTCCTTATCCGTATCTGAACATCTGCACTCTGTTACAGTGACCCCGACCTTTTTCCTGGATCGAATGTGACTTGCTTTCCAGTCCAATCCCCGGAATAGCTGTCCTTTCTGACCCGGACCAGATCATTACTTAGTTTCAGTGGCGGAACGTCGTACATGTCTACTCACCTTTTTGTTTATGAATATTTGTGGAAACATTAAATATTATTCTTAAAATCTACTTACGAGCTGTTCGGCGTCCTGCGTTTGAGTCCTGTCACTCGTCCAAAACGGTCTCGGCCGTAACACATGTCTTTTTTTCCACAAATGCAGTTTTTACATAAACCACTATTCAAAGCTAAGATTAGCTAACTAACCGAACCAAACTAGATGTAAAAATACCTCTCCAAATAAACAATAAATTAATTTCCATCTAAAATGAGAAAGAAATCTGCCCATGGTGCACTCCACTTAAGACAGCCAGGACATGCTCCAGCCCTCCTGAGACCCAAAGTTTTAACATGGTAAAACATGGATTCATAGACCATTAAAGCATCGTTGACAGAGATGTCATACTCACTTATGGTACTGCTCACAGCAGTTGATGGTAATCCATGCACTCTCTTAGACAAAAGTCCTGAGCTTCGCTAATGTGATGTATCCTACTACTCCACTGCAAACTCTTTTATAATAGAATTCTGATTTGGTCATAAGATCTCCTACAGGAAGTGACTGAGCTTGAGAAAAATAAATATAGTGTCCTTAACGGAGTTAGAAGAACAGAAGATTTCTGAAAAGATTCAAACATATAGCTCTGCTATCACTTCCAACATAAATGAAGATGGGAAACAAAACAGCAGTGACATTTGTAAGGTTACTGAAGTTGGGCTAGGTGGTAGCCCATACCCCCCGCGCACACGAACGCACGAACACATCCTCCAACCACACACACCCATATTTTGCTCCATTGCGGTTTATTTCACACCTCAAACATTTAGTAAACAATTAAGCAAATACAAGTAATCTGCAGGTAGTAGGAAAATAAACTACTAACTCTTTTACGCTGCGTCCACACCTACACGGGTATTTTTGACAACGCAGCTGTTTTGTCCACACGTAAACGGCGTTTGGAATCACCGAAAACTGATTTTTTAAAACTCCTTTTTTGCGTTTACATGTGGACAAGGAATACAGAGTTCATCATGCAACATCAAAGGTATGTGCCTTTTTTCACATCGCCACGTTATTGTTTACATGAGATGAATTGCTATCAATAAATTTTTCAAAAAATGCCTCTCTGTGCAAAATGGGTTCAAAACATAAACAACTGTTGGATACTCTTTGTCCGTGATTTAGACAGGGGGAACAAATTGTGGCAGGATCAGCCTGATATTATTTGTATCCCGATGTAACTTTACTGTAGAAAGAGCTAACAGCTCCAAAATGTCCAAAGTAGTTAGTCATTACAACAACATGTGTGTGTGAACTAAAAATCAAGAATGTGGGATACTGTTTGTCTGTGATTTGGAGAGCCCAGCGCTGCTCCCGACGCAGGGAAAACCAATTCTACAGGGGAGACCTACCTTGGCACTTGTGCAGGTGAAGCCAAAGGGCAGATATGCTTCACCATATTTTCTAGTCTTTGGCTTAGAATGAAGTTGCTTTGGAAACATATTCAGTTATGCAAGTTATGCAGGCTTGTTTGCACAACAAGGCTAAATAATTATATAAACTTTTCTGAATCTAAATATTGTACTTTGGTAGAATTAAATAATAAGTGTAGTGCAGGTCTATGATGATTTTTAGTGCTACTATGATTCTGGTTCTGTCTTGGTTAAGTCCTCAGTAGTTCTGATTTTGAACTGTTGTAGACCTGTTTTAATTCCGGATCAGTTCTGGGTCTGGTTGAATTGGGGTTTAGTCCCTGTGTCTTGATACAGCCCTGACTTTGTTCTGCCTTGCTGCTTAATTAAAAAACTAGTTTAAGGTGTCCTGCACATGTGAAATATATTTTTTTCCTATGTGAAGTCATTCTTTTTTGAACAAAACTCAAAACAGAGCATATTAATCTTTCAGTCATTTCTACCCCCCATAATAACCATAATACACAATAGTACAAAAACACAAGAAACAGAAGATGCTGGGTCAAAAGGACCCAGAACTGTGGCAGTAGCTGATAAACAGTCATGTGTCACGCAACTCTATCTGGTGTGTTGGAGCAAAAAACATGAAGGAGTATAAGTCAACTTGAACAGGTTTCTTTTTCAGCAAACACCACAGAACACTGCAAAGTGAATAATATATCAGGTTTAATAAAGAAATGATTTATATGACACACGTAATCAAGATGACAAAAACTACTGACAAAAAAGTTAATCAACTTATAATATTGTTTAAAAAAAGCTTTTTGAAATGAGTCAAATGATACGTATTCAATTCAAGGTAACAGAAAAACATACTTAAAGAAATAAATAAATGAATAAGTGCTTATGCTAACGTGAAAACAGATCCTAATCTCAACGCTTGCCATCACTTTATAATAAAGATCTATTTTAATAATACAGTCCATTAGCTTTTTCCCCCCACAATGATCTCTTCAATTCAGATTTGGGACCGAATCTACTTGCTTGAAAACTTATTGAAGGTACTCATTACCAAGAGCTGTTTGTGGCTTGATTTCAGAGTAAACATCTTCATCAGTTGCTGCAGGAGCTGGATTTTCATACAAATAAAGACACCATTAGTCAAAGTTAATTGCCAGTAACCTCTTACTTACATACGACAGCTGTTCGTTTTTATACAGTTTTCTTTGATCTGTAAAAAAAATTGTAAATGAGACAGAAAGAGAAATAAATTATTGATTGTATTACTTTACTTACATTTGTCTCTCTTGGATTTAGCTTTATTGTAGTAGACCTATGTGTAGAACTGGCTGTCATCTAAAAGAGGATGGACAGATGCTCAGCATAAACAAAGGGTGGAACGATTTTTCTGTCAGTCAACACCAAACTTATCACATGAACTGACTGAAGGAGGTTCTCGCTCTATTAAAGGTGAGATTTTCTGATGACCCCTTGCTGTCATGTTTAAAAATCTGTTTCTTTCTCTGCTGCTGTTAGCTCTCATTTCAGTGTCAGAGAAGCTCAACCCTCCTCCACCCCTGCAGAGGATTACAGATTACTGCTGTCTTCTTATTCCTTCTGATTCTGGGAGACACAGCAAACCTTCTGGCAACAGCAAGTGTGGACGATCCATCCTGAAGGAGCTGGTCTACCTATCCAACTAGAATGGGATGCAGGTACTGTTGTCATTTTTGGGCTTGCAATTTTGTTGCCTCTCCAGTGAACCTGCTGTCACTTTTAGCAGGTCATATGGAGTCACCATGGTTTATGCTTCCTAACTGGATGTATTTATGCCTCTTAAATTTAACTGGCTTTTGTTTTATTTATTTATTTTTGAGGAATGCACATGACAAGCAGACAGCATGTTTCTTCGTCTCTGTTAGAAGGCTCATATGAATGAATGATTTTAAATTTAATATAGATACTACTGTCCTATGAAAACATCTAAACTACTGTATTTCATGTTTTTATAACATCAAATTCTTACCTTTCATTGTGAAGTTTTTTAACTCAATCAAAGAATATGTGAAATCCCCAGATTCATCTGGAACAGAGTTACATAGTCATACATAAATAAACATCACACAGACTCTATATACCTTATTGCCTTATTTATGTACTTTACCATTTTGTGTGTCGTCGCAGTCTTTGATTGATTCATAGAAACAAGCATCATCTACAAAATCAAGGCTGATGTTAGAATAACTAAAAAAATCAAAAAAACATAAAAAATACTGATACTCAAAGCCATGTAAATATATTAAATGTGGTTACAACATTACAAACAGCAAAGGCATAGCATTTTTACATCACTATAAACTTTCCAAAGAACATTTAAAAAGAACAAAAAAAACAAAAACGAAATAACAATTTCTGGGTAGATGATCAGATACATATACAAATTTTAATTATTAACCACTATAGTATGTGGATAGCATCCACGTCCTTATTTAGTACATTTGTTACATATTTACATTACAGACCAAAAGCAACAATAATAGCAAACAAAGGCTGACCTTGGAGAGGAGAACTGTTTTGTCTCTGAATTTCATTCTGATTTGTGTTCTCAGTCCTGGTGGAACATAAGGTGTAGTAAAACAGTAGATTATTATTATTATTATTATTATTATTTAAGAAACACAGGATTCAATTCTTGTATGCTAAAAAGAGAAGTGAAATGTGAACCAACCTGACAAAGAATGAATCTGTAAAAAAAGACAATTACTTTTTTTAGTGTTGTAACACTACATGCAGCTTTTTAAACACATCATAGATCATATTCAATCTAATACCAGAAGAAAATGGTCTCACCCTTTGACCGCTTGAAGACATACAACAACAGAAGAAGAAGAAGAAGAATCAGTAAAATTCCACAAAGGAGTCCAACAATCAACCGGGTGAGAAATGAAGATCGTTCAGGCTCAGGTACTGCTGTAATAAATAATATACCCTAATTAGATTATTATAATGTGAATCACCACCACAATTTACATAGGGAGTTTACAGAACATATCAGCTATATTACAATGTTCTTAATAGTAACTGATGATTGCACATTTTATTGCAATCTGTGGTGGGGTTTTTTTTTCCTGCTTTATTTGTCATCAATTCATATTCCCATTCACTGTCTTCTTTGTGGATCTTATGCTCTTCATATGTATATAAATGACTAATGACAATATTGATTTCCACATTCTTTATTCCTGGAATATTCACTCTTTGATAGTGATGGAAAACTCACCCTTTTTATCAATCCTGACTGACTGGCTGTCCTCTGTGTAGTAAACTGGGTTTCCTCTTCCTCCTCTGCACCTGTAGAGTCCTTCCTGTGAGACACTGATTTGTCCATTTGAGTGGAAAACTGCATCTTGTGTGGTCAGGGCTTCAGAGGATTTCTCATCTCTGTACCAGTAGTATTTCCATCCAGATGATGATGATGGGTTCACAGAGCAGGTCAGGGTCACACTGCCCCCTACTGGAATGTCTCTCATATCAGAAGTTATTTGGGCCTTTGATTGATCTGCTGTTGAGTTTAAACAAAGACACAAAGAAAATATAATATTTACACCACACACAGGCCAGGATTACACTACTATGTTACAAGCCTTCATTTCCCCTCTTGTCCACCTCTGCTTCAGTTTCCAAAAACAAATACAAGGAAAAGAGACCAAACTGAAATGGTACGAGCGCATCACATTTTTATCACCCAACATTGTAAAAGCAGTGTTTCCCCTTTCCTACTCCATGTATAAAAAAATACTTTTACTTTTTTTGTGTGATTCTTTGTAGGTCCCACTGCAACAACAAATTCGTGAGATAACCCAACAAGTGTTAGTAAGCTTAGTCTCAGATGTCAGACCACTCAGGAGGAGATGAACATGCTTTACAGAGAAACCAGCCTTCTTCCCATGTCATAAGAAAAAAATCCCTTTTTAGTTTGGAAAAAAAGGCTCAAAACTCACAAATTACTGTTCATTAACTCAATAAACTCCTGGTCCAAACTTAATAAATAAATTCTAAAAATGTTCACAACACTCTGGCTCTGTAAATGATGATCAATGTCACCAAATCATTATACATAGTTCTAGGATGTCTCATCCCACCTTAATCCAGCTGAACAAAGGAAATAGACTACTGATTATAGCGTTATCAGTCACCATGGCAACAAGTAAAAAATGCGTAAATTATTAGTAAGGAAAATTTTGACATCTCCTCCTGAAATATTACAACAACAAACCTACATCCATATGCTCTTTAACCTCCTACAAAACTTATTTTCTTCTTTTTACATTTTTTTCACACCCGGCATGCCCAGATGTGAGCCCTTTCTGTGGGTGCATAGACAGTGCACAGGCTACAACCTCCTCCATGCATCTGAACTCATGCACAAGGCTCAGATTATGTCCACTCTGGTTTTACTTCCATAGCAATGGGTTCAGATTGTATTAATGACTGGGTGTCAAGCTAAATCTGGCAACCTAATCATTTTTTCCCCTCTTTATTTATGTTAATATTGCACTCAAGTGATGGAGCAGCAGGTCAGCATTGCGGTGGCATCATTAGCCGTGTGCAGATCCAAACTCAGCACCAGGTCCTAAAGTCAAACGAACACTGTGGCATCACTGAGAGTTACAAACTGTCTAAATTCTTTCATCTTTAATAAAATGATCAGTGTTGTTGCTCTACCAGGTGTAACGATTAAATTTGACATCCAGGCATTCATGAAAACAGAATTTATGAAATTTAACAAAGTCATATCATCCTTGAGTCAGTAAATAAAGCTGTATTTTGAGTTCACTCCTGTGTGTTGCGAGTCCTGCATTTTGGGCCCAATCTCCTGCCTGCCACACAGCAATCTTTGACACTCATCCATTACCTGGTGTGGTTTGAACAGCGTCCCTGTTTAAAGTTAGCCAATGTTTGATTTGGGCAACATTACCCAACTGCCCCACTGTGCGGTTACTGAGTGCAGCAGTTACAGCTACTTTTAAGGAAGAGAGAAACAACATAGGGCACGCCATCTGGCCTCAAGCTCACTTCTGCTAAATGTCAGTTTTGCTCGAGGCCGCTCACTCTCTGTGTGTGAATTTATGACCACTCCAGAATTTCACCTTAAAGGAATCGGCCCTGATGTAATGCAGTACTTTACATTACTGAGCTCAGTTTTTTTTCAATTAGGAAATATTTTTAGTTATAGATTCAACTGCTCTGTGAGAAAGTGCATGGATCAACAACACCTGCCGTGAAGGTTTACTGTCTGTGAGTATGACATCTCTGTTTATCAGTTAATGCTTTATTCATCTCTCAAACTATTTTCTTAACTGCTTATAAAACTTAAGTGGCCTGTGGCCTCCATCATACTCCAGCTTTTTTTTAGAGTGAGATGTTGTGGTTTATGTACTTTACATTTGAATCAATATAATAATTTTTGTGTTACAGCCTTTAGTATGAGAAATTAATGGCTGCTTAGATATTAGCAGCACCCTATTTGGGATTGTCTCTGTGGCATAAAAGAAACAGTGTAAAGAAAAGTGTATTCTCTTCCTTTATAATGCTTTTGTTCACTTATCCATCTACAGCAGTTTGTGTAGTGTTGTATCTGTGAGGGTAATAATTATCAGTGGTAAAATTGCTTAATAACAAAATGAGCAGGCAAAGGCAATCTCCTGTTTCTGTAAGACCTCAGTCAAGTTTTAAGCCTTGCAATGCAGTTATTCCAGTGTGTGAAACACTTTCAAGCAAACTGCTTTTCAAAGTTTTTGTCTGGCTTTGACGTTTATTACATTAAAACCATTAACTGTATAATATTAGAGTCCATCAAGGGCACTCCCAGCATCCATAATAAACATATTACTGAGAAGTAATTTTATTACTTAATATTAGCAGATATTTGTTAGAAATTTGAAGACTGATAAGAAACTGGAGGAAAGCAGTAAAATAAAAAGTTCCCACAAATGTATCAATGTATCAACAATTCCACAGGGGGAAAAAACTTTTTGCTAGATCCAGCAGTGTAACAGCATTCAGAGACTTTGTTTAACTGTTTAGACAAATTTGTTGATATTTATTGTTTTTCATTCATATTTTTTGTGTGAGTGGATGTATGAATTTATTGAGATTAGTAATAGTTCTGAGAATCTATTGTGTAAATATTATGCTATTTATTATACATTATACTATAGTATAAACACATGATGCTGGTCAGATCTGTTAAGTTGTTATTTTAGTGTAAAAGGAAGAAAGCAGAAAAAAAAACTATTGTTTCCTTCACAGCTCTTTGGTATCTGCTGTGCTGCTGCTTCACTCTCTCTCTTTACAGAAAGTTGTAGAAGTTTTCAGACGTGTCACTGCTGGATGTGAGGATGGGAGCCACTTTGCTCTGTGAGCTGGGCCTATTCTGTGAGTACATCACTGACTCCTATTGTTTGATTCATACTGATCCATAAACATGTTTTAGTAAGAAGAACAGAGCATCAGTCATTTGTACCATTTCAGGTCATGTGATCAGAGGACTCTCATGTTTGTTACCAACATGGTTGTTTGTAGACTGGATTAGATTTTAGTGCACTGACTCAGATCAGAGTGGAGCTGCTTTAGTTTATCTAAGAAAGGTTTGTTTCTCCATCAGTGATAATTTGATGCATTTTATATTGTAATATAAAATACACATTCTGTACAACCACACAGTGTTTGATTTATTTGTTTATTTATCGTATTTGAGTGTCTTTAGTTTCATAATGTCTGAAGTTTCTGTCTTTATTGTAGTGCTCTGTACGCTCGTCTGCAGTGGACACGCTCAAGGTGACTGAACAGTTTTCACTTTTTCTATTTCTTCCTTTTTATTTTAAAATAAACTGCTAACACCAGGTGAAGATGATTTAAAGTGGTTTAATATTGTGCTGCAACATGGAGAGAAACACATTAATCCAACATCAGATTGGTCTCTGAAGATCGGCCACTCTGATCCTTTTATAGCAGACAATCAAATGCTGGAATTGTGCTGATAACCAGTGTTGGGCAAGTTACTTTGAAAAAGTAATTAATTATAGTTACTAGTTACTTCTTCAAAAAAAGTAACTGAGTTAGTAACTGAGTTACAAGATTCTAAAAGTAATTAATTACTTGAAAAGTAACTATTGCGTTACTTTAAAAAAAAAAAGTTTAACCCTCTGGGGTCCAGGGTATAATTGGCCATTTTTAACTACTTTTGATTTACTTCTACATTTCACTAACCCTTTAAGACCTACCATAGAACCAAGTCCACCAGAGCTTATATTATATTTTTACATGCTGTAGTGCCATTTTTGGGAGCATTTCAAGTTGCTATACATCAATACAACCATTATAGCCCAAATTTTAATAATATGTATGCATTAAGTGCATAGTAATTACATAAATTGCAAAAAAGTGCAATAAACTACAAAAAAATTGAAAATCGTTTTTGTTTTTTTAACATATATTTCTAGTTAGAGAAATTTAAGAGGCTTATCCCTCAAAACTGTAAATACAAAAAAGTTGCACAAAATAGTTTCCCACCACAGGAAATTTATTTTAAGTGTCTTCATAGTTTTATTTTTGAAATACACCAATTTTCATATACTGCAGGAAAAATGAAAATAAATATTATAATAGTATTATATTATGGGGCGATTGTGGCTCAAGAGTTGGGAGTTCGCCTTGTAATTGGAAGGTTGCCGGTTCGAGCCCCGGCTTGGACAGTCTCGGTCGTTGTGTCCTTGGGCAAGACACTTCACCCGTTGCCTACTGGTGGTGGTCAGAGGGCCCGGTGGCGCCAGTGTCCGGCAGCCTCGCCTCTGTCAGTGCGCCCCAGGGTGGCTGTGGCTACAATGTAGCTTGCCATCACCAGTGTGTGAATGTGTGCGTGAATGGGTGGATGACTGGATATGTAAAGCGCTTTGGGGTCCTTAGGGACTAGTAAAGCGCTATATAAATACAGGCCATTTACCATTTATATATTATAATGCAAATTTGCAAAGAAAACAGCATATGCATCAAAATAAACTATTTCCAGCAGTGCAATTTGAGTTCTAAGCATCCCAGAAATATACAGAAAAGTCATAAAGTCAAATATGACTTTTAAAAACACCAGTATAGGCTTATCAGGCCCTGAAGGTAAAAAACTACATTTTCTGCAAAAATGACGTCATTTCTGATTTCGGCCAGGTAATGGTGGACATACGATAGTTCACACTGACGTCTATTGCAACCTAGGAAGTGTTGCATATTTCTGGAATATTATGTTTTTGTTGCTGCAAGAGCTTTTTATGCAATTTTTGGAAAGCTATATTTGGAAGGAAACTGTGACTTAGCACAAGCTAATGGCATAACAAGTCAATACAACTCCTCTGGTTTCATATGCAAAAAATGTTATTGCGCTAGCTTACCTGGTTGTAGTTCTACAGAGATTTAAAAATAGTTACGCAAAATGGAGCGTGTCCGCTCCAGCTGGTTTTAAAGGGTTAAAAACTATTTACTTTGCCTTGTTTGGTATCATTCTTTTCAGCACAACCTCACGTGTCTGAATTTACAGTTATGTTTTCATTTTGACATACTGTATTAACACAATTGATCTAAAATCAGACAAAAAACATAAAATCCGAGTAGAAAAAGTTATATTTTTTTACTGTAACAACCACAAACATGTTTATTGAATCATATTTCATAACTTTATAAATTGTCAATTTGAAAATCATATGCACAAGTTTTGCAAACAACAAAGTTATTTGCAGCCATTTACCTTTTACCCTTTTTTATAACCATTTCAAACTATTTACAAGAACAATCAGCTGTTCTGCATTCAATAAGATGCCACACAAATTATTTGTGCCACTCCAAAAATTTCTGTCCACTATAAAGGAGAACATCACAGCCTGATACCTGCAGGTCTGACAGCAGCAGGTGTATCACTCCTGTTTCTACCTGGAGACAGCAGTCGCCTCATTGTTCTGACACACAACACAAAACTATCCACAACACTACACACTAACTACACAAGACAACACATTAACTACACACTCCAAACACGCTAAACGTCACAAATCTCTCACATCTCAAAACTCGCTCTCTCTCTTTTTCTGCTGTCTTTCTTTCTCTCTCTCTCTCACTCCTAAAACTTCCCCCTCTTCCTAAACAACCAAATGTCATGTTGCCATATCATTTTTGATTGGTCGACATGGTACATTTTTCCACCAACATGAAATGGCTGTTTTTTGTTTTGTTTTTTGCTCATAAGCAGAGAGTGCTTGCTAGCGCTGTCCTTAGACAGTAAACGAGATGAAACTATGAGGAAAAACTATATATATTGTTTATCATGACTCTGGTTTTACGTGGCCTATCAACACAATTTAAAAACTGGTATATATCACCTTGTTGCTTTGTCATCTTGAAGTGGTCATGTGATCGGCTACTATATTCTTCCTCAGTCAAACAGCAGCACTCATGCGATTGTTTTGCCCCCCTAGCTTCAGTTGTTGTGCTTGAAAGTGATCGTCGGGCAGAAAGTGATTACCGTCAGTGGGAGCGCCCATAGCTGCTTAACCCTTTGAAGCCGGTCGGAGCGGGCACACTCTGTTTTGCGTAACTATTTTTAAATCCCGGTAGCACTGCAACCACGTGAGCTAGCGCAATAATTTTTTTGCATATGAAACCGGAGGAGTTGTACTTACATCTTATGCCATCAGCTTGTCCTAGGTCACAGTTTCCTTCCACATATAGCTTTGCAAAAACTGCATAAAAAGCGCTTGCAGCAACAAAAACATAATATTCCAGAAACACGCTTTGCCGATCCGATCAGCTGTTCATAACACTTCCTACGTTGGAATAGACGTCAGCGCGAACTTTTGCATGTCCGCCATTACCTGCCCGAAACCGGAAGTGACGTCATTTTCGCGGAAATGTAGTTTTTTACCATCAGGGCCTCAGAGCCTATACTGGTGTTTTTAAAAGTTATGTTTGACTTTATGACTTTCTGTGTCGTTTCTGGGATGCTTAGGACTCAAATTGCACTGCTGGAAATAGTTTATTTTGATGCATATGCTGCTTTTTTGCAAATTTGCAGTATAATATTTATTTTCGTTTTTCCTGCAGTATATAAAAATTGGTGTATTTCAAAAATAAAACTATGAAGACACTCAAAATAAATTTCCTGTGGTGGGAAACTATTTTGTGCAACTTTTTTGTATTTACAGTTTTGAGGGATAAGCCTCTTAAATTTCTCTAACTAGAAATATATGTTAAAAAAGCAAAAACGATTTTCAATTTTTTTGTAGTTTATTGCACTTTTTTGCAATTTATGTAATTACTATGCACTTAATGAATACATATTATTAAAATCTGGGCTATAATGGTTGTATTGATGTATAGCAACTTGAAATGCTCCCAAAAATGGCACTACAGCATGTAAAAATATAATATAAGCTCTGGCGGACTTGGTTCTATGGTAGGTCTTAAAGGGTTAAAGCTGTAGCTTCCAGATTACTTACGTAGTCAGCTACTTCCATGCAACTGATATAGGGTGTAGTAAGCTGAACACAGCTTCAACCGTCTGTTTGTTGAAAAATAGTAACGGGCCGCACCGCATTTTCTTGTTAGTAACGGTAATGCCGTTGTAACGATAGGAATAGTAATTACTGAAAAAAGTAACGCTTGTTGATCCCATATTGTTCAACTAGTCTGTCAAATGGAATAAATTCTGTTCCCTCTAATATATGTTCTAAGTATTTAATTCCTTTACAACTCCATTCTGGGAAATTAATCATATTATTGTTTTGTAATATGTCAGGGTTATTCCAGATAGGTGTACGTTTGCATGGGATTAATGAAGACTCTGTTATTTTTAGAAACTCCCACCATGCTATTAGAGAAAAGCTGATGTTGATACTTTTAAAGCATTCATGTCTTTTGATGTTTGAGCTAATAAATGGTAGGTCTGAAATCTCTAGATCCTTGCATAGTGCCTGTTCAACATCTAGCCAGGGCTCAACTAAGAAGGTATGTTTTAACCATTCTGAGATGAACTGAAGCCTGTTGGCTAAGAAGTATTGGTGAAAATTAGGCAGATCTAATCCTCCTCTATCCTTGGTTCTTTGTAGCGTTTTTAAGCTAATACGCGGGGGTTTATCTTTCCAAAGGAATTTGGAAATATATGAATCCAGAGATCTGAACCAATCTTGTGATGGTTTGTTAGGGATCATCAAAAATAAGTAATTTATTTTTGGCAAGATCATCATTTTTATAGTGGCGACCCTTCCCATGAGTGATATGGGTAAAGATTTCCATCTAGTCAGATCGCCTTCTACTTTCTTTAGAAGTGGGATGTGGTTTAATTTAGTTAAGTCTGAAAGCTTAGGAGAGACATTAATACCTAAATATTTAATATT